TTAATTGAACAATACAAGGACATAATGGCAGCATCCAGAATAGATCTTGGAGGAAAATGCATATGGAAGAAAAGCAAGTGTAAATAACTGAATGAATGCTAACTTAATGTCATGCTTAGCTCGGTACTGGTCGGTTTCATTTCTGGAGTGTTATCCTGTTGACAGATAAAGCAAATGGACAGAGTCCTGAGGCTCTTTGCATAATTTATTTCCAATGAGTCATTTGATAGAAGAAATGCAGACAAAAATGCTGTGGATGAGGAAAAGCACATTTCACAGCATGATTGCTGCAAAAAATATATATGAGGAAAGCTATTTGAAATATATAAAGAAAAAGCTGCAGAAGATAAAAGTTAAAAATGATTAAATTAAAAGAATCAAAAATAAGATAGAGTGATTTTGATGGAAACAAAGAATTGGTTTGGAAATGGATGAAATAGATTAAACAAACCATTACCAACAATGTGAATATTAAAAATAAAAGTGATGAAATGGTCTGGGATGAAACTAAAATGAGGGAATGTGGAAAGGAGTATTTTAGAGGTTTGGGTGAGAATATTAAAGACCGGAAATGAAGCAAATGCTGTATATCCAAGTATGCAATTAATAAATAAATAAAATCCAAGGATTATTCATCTCATGTAGCATCTTCTCCCAAAACCTTAATTGGCTGAGTATGGAAGTGAGCCAATGGGAATTGATTGTTGAAGCCTTCCTGCAAACTCCCTTCATAATAAGTACATTTTCAAGACACAATCCAGCCAGGGTAAGATGCTTCAGCAAGCATAACCTCAATCATCTCATGGTCAACTGAATTTATGTCTACGCACTCCCAGTATTACAGCTTTTGTCAATAAAAACATCCTATATCATTTGTTGAAATTGTTTCCTGCTCACTTTTGCTAGTATTCTGCATTTACATTATTGAAAGGTTACCACAGGCATCCTGGAAAACAAGAAACGTACCCAGGGAATTTGGGGGAAGCATATATTTAAAGGTATCTTTACATTTGGCAAAAACAGTGACTTTCCCTGGATAAACAGATACAAGGAGGGCAGCTGCAAATCATGATGCCTCTGAAATGTGTTTTTTATTATACTAAATAAACCTACAGATAGTGGAGATAGGAGAATGTGACTGCAAATTTGGGCATGTGCACACACACACACACGCACACATCTGTGGATGAATTATTGATAATTTCAGCTATTTTATCCTGCTCCACAACAGCTGTTTGCCTTGGTTTCCTGGTCTGTGATGCCACATCTCTTGATTCTTTCCTCTGCCTGGTTCTTGTTTTAGCACTTGGCAATGAAAGGTGGCTGTTCACTAAGTGAAAGAAATTGCACCTTCCTGAGGCTGAGCCCTCCAATGCTGATGAAGCCATTGAGACAAAGAGAAGCTCTACTGTGGAAGCCATGCCCTTTCCAGCTGCAATGGGATCAAACAGGGTCAATCACCCTGTCCATAACCAATGCTCTGGGTTTTAGAGTGTTTTTATTTCATATTTTGGGGTGGCACTCTAGTATCTTTTGAAAGGCATGAACAGTAGACTACAAAATGCAACTTCCATTCAATCCCATTATATAATGACACAGCGGGTGAAAAATATGTTTGTGCTTTGAACATTCTAACAGTGTTGTTAGGAAGGCTATTTCTGATTTGCTGGGTAATCGTAAAACATCAGGAGCTCTTTGTTCAACTGAGAACAGCAATAGTCTCCCCAAAGAGGGATGCCTTCAATCACGTTCATATTCTGCAACTGAGGATGGTGCTCAAAGGAAAAAAGGAGAAACAAGTAGTTGGTAGACGGGCTAAGAATTCTTTAGCCAAGAGATGAAGGGACATCTAGATATCGGGACAGTTATAATACATATTTCTTGTGAAGGAACAAGGGGCCTGCCAGAGTGAAGTTAAAATGACTTCCCAGATGTTCCAATGATTGATAGGGAATGATCCTTACCCGAGTTTTTTATTTTTAACACTTTCACAAAAGTTATCTGAGCACACTAACTCCCTAAATACGTTGTTTACTCGTAATCCTGCCAATGTTCCTGTTTTGCCTAGAGCTGTGTTGGCGAACCTATGCCACACGTGCCGGAAGTGGCATGCAGAGCCATTTCCCCCAGCACACGAGAGGTTGCCCGGAAGAGCCACACTGCATGCGTGTGCGCGCCGCCACCCAACAGCTGATTGTCAGGTATCTGGCATGCATGCACAGAGGGCAGAGGGTGTGTGTGAGAGACGTGCATGCATGCACAGGGACGCACTGCACGTGAGGGGAATTGTGCACACATGCACAGATGCATGGCGCGCAAGGTGAATTGCATGTGCATGCACAAAGATGCACAGTGCGTGAGGGGGGTTGTGCGCGCATTGCCTTCTGGCACAGGAGCCGAAAAAGGTTAGCCACCACTGGCCTAGTGTGCTAAGGCAGTGGTCCCCAACCTTTTTTGTACCAGGGACCAGTTTCACACAGAAACACTTTTTCAAGGA